AGCCATAAACCCAACTTTCATCACCAGTGACAACCTTCGAAAGAAAGTTTGGATCCTCTTGAAGCTGTTGCTGAAGTTCCCTGCAGACTTCCAAGCGATGCTGCTTCTGTTCATTTTGCAGCAGTTGTGGCACAAACTTCGCCGCAGTCCTCCTCATGTTCAGTTCCTCTGACAAAATTTGTTGACATGTACCATAACTTAGTCCCAAGGTGTTACAGAGGTCTTGGATGGTCAGTCTACGATCTTGCAGAATCAGATCCCTAACTTTCGCCACATTTTCTGCTGTTTTGCCCATTGACGGCTGTCCCGAACGATCGTCATCATCAGTCAATGTTTGGCCATTTTTAAAACGCTTATACCAGTTGTAAGTTTGTGTCTGGCCTAAACTGTTTTCACCAAAAGCTTGCTTCAACATTTGGTGCGTTTCTGCAGTGGTTTTCCCAAGTTTGAAACAAAACTTTACAGAGACACGCTGCTCTCTCAGGTCAGCCATCGCAAAACCGCAAACTCACGGAAACACAACAATGGAAATACATTCACCAACAATGAACCCAACCACTCAACTCAACGCCGCTTGCCACACTGGTTCAAGAAGGATGTGTGAGGAGACACCTAGCAATATTTCGATGTACTCATAACCATTCGCGCGCAAAATTCAAATTTTGGAAAATTTTGGATTGCCCCACGTACATATATGTCTTTGTAAGTTCACCTTGCTTCACGATTAGAACAATTAAGCCTTTCTTGTCCCAAGAATCACTGAAGATGGTATATTATTCCTATTTTCCCTCTTATCATGATTTATGGGCTAATATTTTAAGGAAATTCTTATTATAGCAATATAATTTTTAGACTACAAAAAAGAATTATTAGATTTATGGTGAGGATTTGAGATAGAAATTCATGTAGAGAATATTTTAGAGAATTAAAAATATTACCACTATAGTCTCAGTATATATATATTCACTTTCATTGTTTGCGATCAATAATAAACATTATTTTAAAGTAAATTCTGAGATACATAATATTAATACTAAAACCAAATCTGATTTGTATCATCCACCATCTCATTTGTCAGTATATCAGAAGGGAACATATTATACTGGTATTAAGGTGTTAACAGTTTACCTGTTCCAATATAGGATTTATTTCATAATACAAAATTGTTTAAATTGACCTTGAAAAATTGTTTTTACTTCCATTTGTTTTGTACATTATACAAATATTTTAAAGAAGAATTAAATCTTTTACAATGCTGTTTATATAGTACATTGTATAAATTAATTTATTATAGTCTGATATATGTTTATATATTTAAGCTATGATCTCAATAAGGTGATACTGTCAAGTTCATGAGTCCTTTATGCTTGTTAAATTCTTGAATTATATATAATTAATGTTTCTTTGTGAATGTAGTTGTAAGGTGACTAGTTCTGTGTTTAGAACTAATGTATGCATGTGTGACATGTTCTGTATCTGATGACTTTGGTAGCCAGTAAGGATCTATGGAATTAAAATAAAGATCCAGATACAGATATAGAATGTGTTGGACATCCTTGGAATTACTGGTTCTTACCCTTTCTTCACACATATGGCAAGTCTGCATCCAACTTCACTGTTGTTATATTCTTTACATAAGTGATATTTTGTCAAAATTCTGTTTATACTTTTTTAAGTTTGTTATCTAACAATACTGTCAGTATTGAGACTCTCTGCTGTTAGTGATAGGATTATCATCATCAACAGGGTCTGGGTATGCATGTCCATTTTGAATAAAAATGTTTTGTTTGGTGCATGCTTTCGAAAAAATAATTCAGTTTTCTCAATGTTTATGTTCAAATGTATGTTAGCAGAGTTGGTAGTAGGTACAAATAGGAGCAGAAATGGCAGCAGTGAGTAGTGGCAGTGGGACACATGCTTGACTCAGTATTGCAGTGTCTGCCTTACCCAAAGAAAGTTCGTAGCATACATGTAGATAGTACTGCTTAGTGCATATTGTTAATCTGTCAAGTTTAGTATCTTTGTATAAATGTAACTTTCTTTCCAGTTCAAAAATGTTTCAAGCTTGTAGCATTTCTGTTCAGAGCTATAATATGGAAGAGAGAATCTTAGTAAAATAAGTGCATTGTGGCCAAGTATGATGTTGATAACAATAACAATTTTCCATAAATGTACATTCAGTCCAGCACGAGCTCTCAGATAGTTGATACAGTATTTGTGCATTGTTTGGCAATCAGTCAAAATAGATAAATAAGTAAATAAATATATTCGTGTTCCTTTGATGTCTATGAAGAGCTAATGTTTCATGCAGGACGGGTTCCCTTGCATCACTGGAGCCAAACATGAAGATGTTGGTGCTACAGCTCGATAAATGGGGACTTGATGATGCCCATAAAGATAAACAGAATAAAATATACACCTCTGATTTTAAGGTAAGTTAGCTGGAAGTTATGTTCATCTGAAATTTTAATGTTGAACTCCTAACACAGGAATTGACTTTGGTCCTCAGATCTTATGTAATCGTCATAATGCATTGTATTTTAGTAAACAGATTATGTAGAAGAGAAAGAAAGAACCATTGACTAGAGCAGAAAGTAGGGCATTAGAAAGCAAAGGCTATCGTATACAGTGTAACCTTGATATTATAAGAATTCATAAAATTCCTAAAAATGCTCATAATGGATATCCTTAATATCTGAAATTTTTTTAAATACATAACTACAAATGTGTCCCCTAACTTCTGGTTAAGAACAGTAGAGCGTTGTACCAAGGTTTAAATAATAACATAGGTATGACAATATTTCTTCTTTGGAGTGAGTAACATGGTGATTTGAACATAACAGAGAGTAATTCAGCACTCGTATTCTTGTTAGAATTATCTGAAATGAGAATTCCTCAGCTGCTGGTACTATACTTCTATGATTACTGTGAACATCATTCTGCAGGGAGTCGTTTTAAGATGCAAAGAGGTTATTCATAAATGTCTTACATACAAAATTGTAGTTCATATTTTAAAGAAGATGAAAGTTGCAGAGTATGTATTTTATCAGAAGATACAGTATTGAAGAATTATAGATGGCAGAATCATCAGGTGTCTTTAAAGGGTCTTATGTTGAAATGACCTGGTTCATTTGTGCCCTCAAGAAAACCATCTTGCTGACTGGCATTATCACTTTGACAAAACAGTGCACATCATTTATAGTGAAGGAATGCAGAATCTTAAAATACACTGAGCTTTTATAGTGGCTTGCTTTATAGGAATTGTTATTACTCAGAGGCACAATGGTTTAAATTTTTTATTCATATTTATTTTCATGTATGACATATTCAGTGTATAATTTGAAGCTTGCATGGCAGGTATATGCAGTGAAGTCTTGAACTACTAGCCATTTGAAGATGGAGTTAAGGTACAGTATTTTGGAGACCTCAGTTATCAGGTGTTGATGTGAGGATTGATGCTGCTGCATATTGTTTTTATAACCAAGGGGCATGCTGTCAAGAGTCCAGACTGTGTTCCCATCATGCACCACTGTGCAGTGTCAGGCAGTCAGTCTTAATGATCCATGTTACTTAACCTCAACAGCGTGGCATGGTGCTATTTTTGATCTACACTACCCACATCTACATACTTCAGCAAGGGAGGACCATCAGAATATGTCATAATGAAGGACGGATTACAGCAGGAATGACAGGGTGTCCAGATTGTGAGGACTGTGTGATTCCGCACACTGTTCCTCTCAGCAGCCTGCACTAGGATAAGGATAAGGGTTGTGAGGCCTGACACTGTTCATTGTTCTCCTAGGGATTTACGCTGGCTTAAAGAATGTGCTCTTTGAGAATGAATACAGTCTTTCTCAGAGAGGCAAATTGTATGACCCTGCTACTGTTGGCCTGTTAGCTGGAACCTTAACTGTCATCTATCAAGATCATAGTCTTTAGTAAGTGTTAGTGTATGTCCCACAGTATAAACATGGACATGCATTCCTTAAAATAAATAGTTCAAAAATCTCTCTTCTGTTCTTTAACAAAATTTCAGTCTCTTGAAAAGATTGTTTGATGCCAGTGTGAGAATTATTTGAATAACCTTTGTTTTTTACATTTCCCCACAGATACAAGTTAACAAGAATTTATGTCTGGGAGACCTTGCAGGCTGCAGTCTGCTACATACCTCTTTTTGTCTGTCTTGAATGAAACATTAACGGAATACTTAACTGTGTGTCTTGTAGAACCATCTTGCATAACATAGGCGTGCCTTTTGTTCTTCCATGATACTCTCACAAAGGGCCAAAGAATGTCAGTTACATACCACTCTGAATTAATAGTCTGTTCAAGAAATGTGGGTCTTGCTGTTCATGTAGCAGTAATGGCACACCACTCCAGTCTTTTGATTGTGAAGAGGCACTCCAAAAGTCTCAGATTAACACTGATCTAGTACCCACTGTTCTGATTATCAGTGTACCCACTAATATGGAAACAAGTTTTGTCAGTGAAAGAATCTAAATTTTGGGTCAAGGAGACCATTATGCACAGCCTGCAAAATCCAGTTACAAAAATATTCTCCTATAATCAGTGGGGCATATGGTAATGTAGTTGGTTGAGGCCTTAAGGGGAAGACTGCACAGTGTATGTTACTCATCACATCAACTTGAAATGGTGATAGAGAAAGTCTCCAAAACACTAGACACTAACCCCAGCCTCACACAACTAGTCACCCAAGAAGTCATAATGTATTGGATACACTGTAAATTCTAAAGGATTTTGACAGTGGTGTATAACACTCAGAATTACTGGGTTTTGGGCTTTGTCCATTGTGCGGTATTGTAGAACTGAGGTTAGCTATTTCTAAGTGCCCCAACTGAGTAGGTGTTCTCCCCCCCCCCACTTGAGGAGGAAAACATCCATTTTCCAAAATGTTGTGTTTTCTAGTTTGTAGAATACCAGATGATGGACAAAGTCCAAAAACCCAGTAAATTTGGATACAGTGTGTTTCCAATTATTGCACCCTTTACATTTCTGTTTAATAAGTGGATCAAATTTTATGTAAGAACTGTAATTACATTAGACAAAGTAAATGGTAGTGTGCCAGTTTAACTCTGTTTTCCATGGGTTTGGAGTAATTGTGTGGTTTCCTCAGGTGAGTTTGTTCCTTCACCGAGTTCCCACAGAGTTGGGTTCAGGTACACCAATGGAGCAGTGCTGGTCATGTGCCAGGCAGTCCACCAAGTGCCAGGACACGCCAAGTGGGTCATCAGGGAATGATTCAAGTCAGTCTGATACAGCCGAAGAGGAGGAAGAAGAGGATGGTTGGGAATCAGGTGAGTTACTTGAACTGTTCTCTGTATATGCTATAGTCTTCATCCAGTGGTTCTCAGAAGGTAAAGATTTAATTTTATCTGTGTGTTATTTGAAACTGGAATTCTTGTTTCCTGTGTAACTGTAATTTAAGTTAGAGTTATTGTTAGTTGCATGCTGTGAATTCTTCAGACAGGATTCCTAATTTTTATTTAGGGTTACTGATTTCTGAAACAGTAAATCTGAGATCATATAACGAATTCTTGAGAACCACTGTTGTATTCAAATATAGATTAGTTAAATGTTCTCCCAGAGACCTAATTATATACATTGAGGGATGCAGGGTTCTGACTGTAGTATTTTCTTCTCTTCATCTCACGCATGCACCCAGTGGATTCTGCAGAGCGAAGGGTGGGCAGATACCGTCTCCTGTCCGATCCTGACTTCAGGCATTCAGGCCAACTCTTTCAGTCGTGATGTCAACGGGGATGGGGTTTTGGGTTTACTGTAATGGGTTGCAAGGGTCCTGACTGAAGTATTGGTAATGGGAGGGAGCACCAGTAGAGTCAAGCCTTCTCCAAATTTTCATTTCTGTTTTTACAATATTGTACATTGGGATCAAGGATGAAGAACAAGAAGTTCTTAAATTTAGCAAACTGTTGTGGAGAACGGAAAATGATTACATACTAGTTGTCCAAGCAGGGATGTGCATGTCCCTGTTAAAATTTTTGGCAGATCTCCATTCTGTCATAATACTGACAGTATTGAGAAGAAAGGGTGTGAGAGCAGGAATGACATGCAGGCTACAAATTCTGGCTCTCTACAGAGCAGTGACTTTCAGAAGAGAGTTTATAAGTTATAGCGCTAAGTACATCTTTGTGTTCCCTTGGTGGAAACTAAGGCCATGTTTCATTCAGACACTCGTGTACCATTTTGGAAACACTAAAGGTTTTGAATTTCTCATTTGTTTTTCATTGAGTATCGTAAGAAAACAGGTTTTCTGTGTTGTAATCTCGTGTAGAATAGCTGTTTATATTTATTTTTCATCTTGTTAACTTAGATTTATTTAATGGCTGTGCATAACGGAAAAGACAATTTCTTTTATAACAGCTGTACTAGTTCTGTGGTTTGTAACTTGTAGGTAATAGGATGAAGGTTGACTAGTATTGAATTATAGGTTAGATTCCTTCTGGTTAATGAGCTCTGTCAACAATCTGACAGAGTAATGAGACACGGTTAAAGAGAATTCTTCTGAAGAAATCAGTTGTGATGATAAAGTAAAAATTTGAATTGGAGACAGAGATGGTCCCCAGAACATCAGGTTTTTACTCTGTTCTTTATTGATGCTGTTGGTTGCCCAACAAGAATTCATTACATTTAGTCACCATGAAAACTTTTATATGAAGCAGACAGTTACATAAATCACGTTTACAGTTCATAAGTTTGGTAGTTCTCATATCTGATTGGAATATGGTTCTGTATGCTTAATATGAATGATTGGAAATAGATGTGCATAGAGGTTTGATTATGTGGGTCACTGCCTTTAGCACCAAATATTACGTAGATATGATAGTAGTTTCTCTTTATTGATTACAGTGTTTTGTGTGCATATTATCTCTTTTTTCATATTCTTTTTTGTACTTCAAGACATGCTTTTGATGTTTATTGAAATTCATAAGACAGTTTATTAAATTATCTTGCATAATTTAAATGCACTGCTGACAGTGTCTTTGTAGAAGGACAGATATCTCCCCCATATTCCTTCTCTAAAAGTGCCATAACCTGTGCGTTTCTAAAATTAGTTTTATTTTTGTATTTTATCCTTGGCCGAGTGACATTTATTAGTGTATGAATTACTGTCACCATAAATTTTAATCTAAGATAAGATCTGTACCAAAGAATTGAATAATTTTATAAAATCATGGCATAGGCCTGTTGTAAGGTCAGAAATGAAAAAGTATTTATCATGTGTAATCTACAAATATTATTTATGTTGCTTTTATATTTTTTTAATTTTTAAATGCTCATACACATGTCTTTTTTTTTCATGTCAATGTAAAAATTGTGTAGCCTGTTAGTACTGAATAAATTATGTGTTAAAAACAACATGCACACAATTTGAACCAGTTCCGTGTTTTCAAATTAAACTTCAAATTATGTTTTATTTTACAAAGTCAGTAGCTTTTGGAATTGGCAGGGTAGTGTTGACATCATTGTAATGGCAGTATGTGCTTCAGTTTGTGGTTGTTACATTAAGCCCATTTTGTGTTGACAAGGGATTGAACCAAAGCATTAAAGGTCAGTTCCAAGAAATCATTAGGTATGTTCAATCAATGTTTGTAGTTACCAGCTACAATTACAGCTTTGTTAGGTCCAGAGTTACAGGAAGGAAATAGCGGTAATAGACTACCAGCATACGTACAGTAGAGAATCATTTTGATAAGATTCATATAAGAACTCTATTCTACATACAAATTTATTATTACAACTAAATGTTGAACTGCCTCTACTCCAGTTGCAGGAAGTAGCAGTCCGTAGAGAGATATTTTATTTTTCATCATAATACTATCGGTCTTCCATGACATTGATGACTTCATGGCAGTAACAAACTATTGTACCAGTATGCCACACTTAGATGTCAGGAAATTTAAAATAGCAGAATTTACTCAGAAATTCTATGTGTGATGGGGAAAGGTTTCGATAGATACTTTCATTTTGATGATGGACTGGATTATCTAAGGCTTGTATGGACAAACAGTATAGTTTCATGGAAGTGGTGAATAAAATCATGCCAAGATATGAGGGGTCAGAATATGTATCATGGTAAAATTCTGCGTAGATCATTCTGGAAGTATTGATATATGGGTAAATCCTGGAACTTACCAAAACTTAGTAGACAGTATTAGGGAATGGTTTATCCCAAGATCATATGTAATCATATGTACTTCTCAGCATTACTACGGCTATGTAAGCTACATTCCATATACCTTCTTCAGTCCTGACTTATGTGGCCGAGGTTTATTCCACGTTTTGTAGTAAATGAATGGGTAAAGTCACAGGTTTTGGACAGGATAGGTGGGTTTTGTTTCCTGACTAGAATGTTCAGGTTTTTCTCTTCTTGCCACTTCAGGAATGGCTTAATCTGACCTGTCTCCTTTACATTGGGTATTATAAGCTCATTTCCCAAGGGAAAAGGCTGCTGAAACACGAATTCAGCAGTTCCATTCAATTAGTGATGAGGTTTAGAATGCATGGAGCTTTGTCTCCATATGCCCTAGTGTCTTGATACTGAAATACAGGGAAGTGCACTGTCAGAAATAGTTGTAAAGAATTAATCCATGGAATATTGTATTAGAATCTGTAATGTGTTAGTGTAGTAATCCTGATTTTGAAAGGCATCCTCATTCATTTGAATTAGCACCACAGAATAAACAGCAACTATTTGAATACTCATTGTGTTCCCCAATTTATGTTTGTTAGTAATGGTGTAAATATATATATATATATATATTTTATATAAATCTGTGCAGGAGTAGAATGTTGTTCTTCAAGGTAATAACATGCAAACTGAATAATAATAGCAGTTTGGGACCACTGCTGTAGATTTAAAATATTTAACCCTCTCAATGACAAACCAACTGTTACAGGCTATGTAAGAATTTCCAGGCTGTTTCGTGAAAAATTAGTAACACCTCTATGCCCAAGATAAGAAACAAAAAGGTTTGAAAATCACATACTTTGCATGTTTGTGCTATCTCTTAACATGTGTTATATTGTGCCTGTACATATTTGAAATACAATACAAAAAAAATGTTATTATCAAGCAGATTAGAGTGTGACAGACTTGTTGGAACCTGCCTTATCAACCCAGTGATTTTACTGGCAGGAAAGTGGTGGAAAAAGTGAAGCACTAGGTGCGTTAATGAAACCCAAAGGCTTTAAGTTAGATTTTATGACAATGACATGTCATCGCTTTGATTTGGCATTTAACATAATTTAATGATGCAGTATGTTGAGCTACATGGTATACAGAAGGCAGGTCAGTTTTAAATTCCCTAAGCTGATTATGAATAGCCTGTTTTTGCTGGTGGTTCCATTCCTTGTCTGAGAGGCTTTCACAGTTTGTGAATTAATCTGTAGTTGTTATCAGAATATTTGGAGGTGTGTGACAGTGCATAATTTGGTGTAATATAGATTAGTTAATGGATGATAGACCTTGGGCTCAGAACTGTGAACTATGGAAATAAATTGATATGTAAATTAATCTTGTGTGTGCGCGCGAGTGTGTGTGTGTGTGTATATGAACGCACACATTTGTGTGTCTGTCGGTATTGTTTGATGTTGTGTATAATGTGTAGTATCTAAAATAATGAAAAAATGAAAATCACCCCCAAAAAATCTTTTCATATTTGTCCACTTACTGCAAGAAAACTATTTACTACTACCACTCTATTACAGTTATTATTAAACTTATTTCTTTGTAAAAGTACTGTATTTCATTATTTTGAGAAAGAAAAGCATTAAACATGATTTTAAATTGTAATTGAAAACCCTTTTCGACTCTTCATGCGACCTACATATCCTTTTTTTCTCTATACCAAATATTCTTGAATATGTTGTCTATTAATGTTACTGCATAAATGGGCAAGTACAAAATGTGACGTGCATATGGATGGGAATACAAGTACCACATTGAATCAGACATGAAGTAATATTTATTCATGAAGTTGCAGAGTACAAATATATTGAAAAAATGTATTGCATAAATAACTATATGAGTAGAGAAGCCAGTAGTCACTTCTCAGTTCCTATCTTTCATGGTGCATGAAGGTCCATTTCTGTGTTCATAAGAGTCTGCCACTGGACTCTATCCTGATTCAGAAAATCTGTTCAAGCTCAGTGTTGGGTAACAGGCCCCCACCCAACCCCAAGTTGGAGGGCCACCCTTTTGCAGCTGTCCACAATTACTTATTCTTTGTATTCACAGCTGCCCACAATATATGGAGCCATATCCTCCATCTGC